CTCTGATCCTAGAAAAACACATGTTACACATCTCAATGACAGGGTTTTTATAAGATGATCCTTTCTGCATTTAACACAGATTAATACAGTCACTGTTAAAATCCTAGCCTCCCCTGCTTCACTAGAGCCATGCATAATTGCCTAGTGTTTTTCGGTAAATTTTAGACAACTTTTGATAGTCATCGTGCTTATCATTTTATGAAGATGCAAAAAAATAATAAAAAAATAAATAAAAATAATAATAAAAAAAAAAATTAGAACTTTGAATAACATACATCATGTAGTTTGTAAATCTATAGTTATAGAAATCTGTCTGAATCATTTTAGAAGTACATGGCTTGACAAGGTTAAGGAGATAACTTCGATTCTTAGTGGATCTATTGAGGAATATATTGAAACTAAGGAAATATCTTATTGAGAATAAGTGTGAGTTTAGTACAGTGACTTTAAGAAGCATGGACTTCTCAAGATAAATGCAAATAGGCAAGTACACTGTGAGAAAGAGGTGGAATGTTTATAGTAATAATACTGTCAAATAAACACAATTTTGTGAAGACAAAATTTGGTGACAATGCACTTGCACAAAGGGTAATATAATTCAGGAATTGGGATAAGATGTCAATGTTGCAAGACTTGCAACTATATGGATTACTCATATTTAGCGATTTGATGAGCAAAAACATAAACTAAGGCAAATTATTAAAACAATATAAGAAGATGAACATAGCAGTGCCAATTCTAATTGAATAAAAGAATATATAATGACTGACATACACCTGAACTAGAAGTTTCAATTTGGATTTATCCTTATGAAAGTTTGTACTCGTAAATCTCCTCTAATCCTATACGTTTTCCACCCCCACCAACCTCTTATTTCCTAATTTCATAGCTTAATTTAAATTGTAATCATGGTCACTAGTGACGTAGCCTACATAATCAGTAGAAATTCCTAGCATCAAGCATATATTTCGAAACAAACCAAATTCAAGAACCTGTAAAAAAAACCAGATGATTCAAATAAATTAGTATATTACACTTGAAGGTGGCTTTTATTAAACGCAAGAAAATAGTGTCCGAACAACTCAACATCCTAACATTAATGGCTACAAACTATTAGTACAATATTAAAATTTTAATAGATTTTTTCAATTAACCTATCCATCTAAAAAAATCGAGACTGAATCTAGTTATATTCACCATTGTTGGTAGATTGATTCAAACATGCACGTAGCCCCAAATAGCTAGACCTAAACAAGTCGCAAAATTAGAAGGATTTTCATCCTCTGGAAATAAAATTTAAATATTAAGATCAACAAAAGCAGGTAGAAAAGCACAAAAAAATTTGGTAATCTTACATAGCCAACAATCGCATCAGATAACACTCAACAATAAAAATACGCAAAATTGAAGAAAATGACAAAGTTTAAATCATGCTGAGTAAAACAAAACTTTCAATCACTTGCAATACCAAAATGTCCACAAATTCCAAATTAAAAATATTCGAAAAACCCTTACCGACAGCATCGATAACAGCATGATCGCATAATCATCCCCAAAATTGAATAATAGACCTAGAATTTCAATAAGTTAAAAATTAATTAGGATGAATTAGAATAATATGCGTTGTATCATGGAATATGAATGACGAATTTATGAAAACTACTTCAGAAAACCCTAGAAATTCATATTAACGGCGAATATAATACTGGAGAAATCGTAAATTAAATTGCGAGCGTAAAATGTTACCATTTCGGAGGTTTTGACGATAAAATTAGGGTTTGTGAAGTGTGCGATAGCTGCTGGAAAATTCTGGGAGTGTGAATTGCTGAGAAACTTGGGGGTTTGGGAAAGATGAAGATGAATGGCGGGAAAAAAGTATACGAATTTATTTTATTTTATAATTTCTTTTTTGTAAATGATTTTGAACTTCAAGTCCAAAGGCCCAAAAATTTTCCTCCTTTGTAGTCTATGGAGTTATTTTTTATGTCCTTTTAGGACCATCTCCTTGGAAAATATTTGCCTCTTAGATATCAAATTCGGCATGTAAATTGAACTTGAATTAGGCTATCGGATTTGGTTGATGGTTTTTTTTTTTTCCTTAATAGTAAAATCAATTCATTAATATAAAATCATTTAACATTGATAAAAAAATTCGGGTTTTTAACAAATATTTGTACATAACATATTCAAGATGAATTCGAATTGTGTTAAGCAAGATTTGGCAAAATTAAGTAGCTCACCAATATTATTATTCTTTAGGAATTGAGTCAAGTTTACCAAAAAGTATAAGAGTAATGTTAATTACAAATCCAAACATTACTGAATTTAGCTTTTATATGAAGTAAATTAATAACAACTCCAAACATTGCTAATATTTGGTAAAGTACATAGTGAAATACTAGTAGTAATAAGTTATGCTTTAAAGTGCCATATTTTAAATCCATTTTACTATTTCATCCATTGATTTGTACTTTGCATCTTCCTCAAATAACTAATTAGACAAGTATATTATCTCGCAAAAAGCCACTTATCTACAATGACATGCAACTACTAGCTTGTAAACCAATTAAATTTGTCAACCATGCACAAGTAATTGAGTGCTTTTGTTTTTCACAAGAGCTAAGGATAGAGGTTCAAACCTTGACCATGAAGCATGAACTTATTATTAATCTCTATAAAATTAGACATGTGAAGAAACACCTTTTTTCATCTACTTACTAACAAATACCTCAAATATTATACTTAGTAAATGTTCATAGAATACACATACAGAATACGATAAGATGAATTAAACAAAATTCTAATAAATTATAAATATTTTAGTAGAAATTTATTTGTATAAAATACAATTAAAGTTTAATCATCACACCAAGACATCATATCGGATAATACCTTCATAAATTCAAATCATATCATTTTAATTTGTCTCCATTAGCTTAAACTATTTTGTAATTGTACGTTCCAATGAAAACTAAGATCACGTATAATACTCTAATTGGACAAAAAGTAGGGATACAACATTCAAGAAGTACAAGTAGCAAGTTTCTAGAAGAAATTGAAGTTACGTGGAATCCACAAAGATAAAAGTGGTAGCTTACAAACAAAAGTTATCCTATTTTTGTGGATGCTCTAAGTCCTGCATGTTCACATCATAGGTAACTGCACCACAATACGAGTACGTATTTAGATAGTAGTTAACACTGTTGCATAAGACCTTTAATGATGCATATCAGGAAGATACGTAGAATAATCATTTAAAGTATATCTTTTGGGTGGTTATTATAAATAATATTTAATTGTTATTTATCATCTATTTTAATAGATTTAGTTTACAGATTAGTTTATCTTTTGTTTTTACAATATTCTAGAGTTAATTTTGCCTTTATAAAGGGCTTTAGGTTGTAACGTTTTCGGGAGAGAAGTTTTGAGTTATAATTAATCAATTCGTATGAATTGTTTTAGCAAGAGAATTGCATATGATATTTTGCTGAGAAAGCTACCAATTTAGTTATTTAGTTTTGGTTAGATTAAATAGCTTCATATCCCCGAATTTTCTGAAGAGCCCATAAAAATACGCATCATCTAGCTTGGAGCCATTACTTTTGTGCTTTTGCGTATAAGACTTGTGTCCCTAATTCCCAACTCATACGCAGTACGTACCTCTTTTTGGTGCTAAACCGTTAGTGTATTACTACGTAGTAGTTAGCCCACTTTTTGTTTACGTATATGCTTGTATGACGCTTATTATACATAAACAAATATACTCCGCATTATATTGCTATACGCGTTTTATTTTCACATACTATTTACTCCCTCAGTCTCTTTTTGTTTGATCCATAACTCACTTGTTTGTAAAAAAGACAAAGAGAGAGTACTTATCTAAGCATAGCATGTTCTTTTTTTTTTCTTTTTTTTTTTTTTGAAATTAAAAGTACTTAATATACTTCATATATTCCAAAATTATTGCAACATTTTGACTAGCATGATTATTATTGAAGCATAATCTTTCCAAATAACACTTTATATTACTAAGGGGCTACTCCTTTAATTTTTATTGTCATATGGTTTTAGGATAAAACGTATATGAACTTGCATTGTGGAAGTGAAATCTCTCTTAGTGATGGGCGCAACTTAGGCTCATATTTTTAACAATTACCAATGCACAACTTTAACAATTACCAATGCATAACTTTAACTATTTTAAATTGTCCATTATTAATTAATATCTTTATCATGTATTAGTCTATTACTACTAGACTAATAGTTAATATTGTACAAGGGTTTGATACAATTGTGATGAATGCGGTGAACCTTAAATTACGTAAAATTACAAGTATATTTTTTCCCAATAACTATGCGTTATATTGTTTTGGTTGCACGTATATTATTTTCTTTAAGCTCATTAAGATATTCTCCATTTGTTGTTTTTCAGTTTAATTAATTTGAAAGTTCTTTTGATTGTGGTAGCTAGTAACACCTAATACAAAAAGACCATAATGATATGTATGACTAATTATCATCATGAGTTTAATAATAACTAGAGTACAAGAGACTTTATATTAAATCTATAGTTGGCGTTTAAATTTCACATGTAATTTGTGGAATATCAGTCTTTAAGCTAGAATATTTGACATTCCGAAAGTTTTCATGAAAATAAGTAAAATGCCTCATCATACAATATGTTTTCAAATAAATAAAAGGGTTATACGGAGTATAACTTTATAATAAAAGTACACTTCGTATGTTACTCCGCATGTTCTTTAATTTGATACTCTTATATGTTTTATTTTTTCTTGAACTAACTTATATGTTTTATTTTTATTTTCATTTACTATTATATTATAAAAATAGAAATAAGAATAAAGCTGTGGTCTTTTAATTTCATATCATTAAATTTCTTTTAATATATTAATATTCTTTTGTGTAGTATGTGTACAATGAGTATATTCTACATGTATATATGTATGTAGCAATATCGGCAAATCAAAATTAGTGGAAGATAGAAATAAAAATTGATGATAGATCGATTTTTTACATATGTGAAAGTGATTTAACATGCACTACATTACAAGTTAAAAACATGCATGACCCATCTACCTCTTTGCGAGTATATGAATTAAATGTGCATTGGATTTCTTTTTCTTTTTCTTTTGTTCTATTAAAAATAAAAAATAAAATAAAAAAAATCTCAACACTAACTAAAACTCATTCAATATAATGAAACAATGAAGAAAGAAAATTTATCTGTTTACAAAATGTACCGAAAAACAATAAATAAATAAATAAATAAACATCAAGCAAAACTGACATGATCTCCTAAACTAGCTACTACAAACACAAAACATTATTATCAAAGATATCAAAAGAAACATCAAAATTCATCAAATTCTCACAATAACTATCAATCTCATCTTCACTGCTAGTAGTAGTAGTACTGCTGCTGTTGGGCTGATACGCCGAGTTAGAAGTACTCAAAGGCGGTGTTGTCTGTTGGCTCGAGCTAGGCGTGGATAACAACGAAGGCATCTTCAAACCCTCATGATTGTTGCTCGTGTTATTATTAGCCGAGTTTAAGCCCAAGGTGTCTAGCAATGAGTCCATTAATGCTTGATAATTACCACTGTCTTGAATATTTACTGCAGCTTCTGAACTGAAGCCTGCAGAATTACTGTTTTGTTGCCACTGATCATTTAGCAATGGACTAGTTTGCGCAGCGGCGGCAAAGAGTTGCTCATTCGAGCTCGAGTAATTTGTTGGGTATTGCTGCTGATGGTTTAAGCTTGTCTTCATCGTGTTGGTTTCGTCGAAAACTGTAGTGTTTGATGGTGTGATCATAGGGGAGCAAGTAGGTATAGTGTTCTGAACTTGACTGTTGTTTATAAATTGGTTTTGAGATAATAATTGATCAGAAGGGTTGGAAAATTGATGTGGTTGAAGATTTTGTAGAAGAATGTTTAGGTTTACGTTTTGTGGTTGGTTTTGGTTGTTTGAGAGAAGAGAAGCAAGGGTCAGGAGATTGTTGGGGTTGACTAGGCTTTGCAAACCAAGTAGCTTCAACAAGTTCAGTTGATCAGAGGAGTTCTGAAGGATAGAGGGGTGGTTGCCCAAGAGGGAAGGAAGGTCTAAGTAGTCTAATCGACGTGTGTGGGTCACGGGATCGATGCCCATCCTAAGCATCCTCTTCCTGATGTGGGTGTTCCAATAATTCTTTATCTCATTATCTGTCCTTCCTGGCAATTTAGCGGCAATTGCTGACCACCTATACAAAAGGAGCGAGACAAAGTAAGAAACAGTACAATACCACGTTTTAAATCTGTCAATTTGTTTCTTGGACGTTCTTAATAAACACCACCTCACTTTTTATTTATTTATTTTTTTTTTAATTCAAGAAAAAATGTAATAAAAAAGAGGAAATAGATTACTTGTTGCCTAACACACTGTGGAGCTGAATAATGGCTTCCTCTTCTTCAAATGAAAATCTTCCTCTCTTGATATCTGGTCGAAGGTAGTTGGTCCATCGAAGTCGACAACTCTTTCCACATCTCTCAAGACCTGTATTTACAAATATAATTCGAATTAGTAAAAAGAAAACTCAATTCATTCAAACAAATAACTAATTTAACTACTATCTACACCTATTTGACAAATGTCCGTTTTCCTTTTTATTCTAGTTTTTCTTAGAAAAAAACTCGATATAAAAATGGACACGTATCAAACAGGCAATTATAGAGTGCAAATAGCATTCCTCGATGTTAAAATGTAAAACACGAAAACATACCAGCTTTCTTAGGAAGGGTTCTCCAATTTCCCGGACCATTTTTCTGTATATAATCAATGAGCTTCTGATCTTCCTCCAGTAACCATGGACCTTTCTTAAGTCCATCTCTATTACAACACGGTGCTCTTCCCATATCTTTCGATTTTCGACCTTCTTCTTACTATTTACGTACTCCCGTAGAAACAGATAAACCCTAGATAATAATTTCAATTTTCTCAAGTGTAATAATATTGTTTAGTTCTTGTCTTTTGAATATTTATCTTAAAGCTTAAAGTTATGACTGCAGGTTATACATGCATAAGGTGGTATATATATACGTGTAAAATTAGTGGTGGGATTGCTTAAAAATAAAAAAGTCAACAAGATTTGTTGCCGTCCTTGGTTAGTCATACAAGCGACGTGTCCCATCTATTTGGGGAAATTGGGGCCTTAAAATTATTTTTTCATAGCAAAAATATTATTTTAATTAATATTATGATGTCACATAGTTTCCAAAATGAGTATATACGTACATCATATATTTACCTTTTTTTTTTTAATTCTTTTATCCTATAATAATTTGGGGGCCATGTAACCCCATGATGTACCTAAATCTATGAAATTATACGGTTTATGTTAAGTTCAAAGAGTAGAATTAGGCTCCGTTCACTCCACCTTATTTTTGCTGAAGTGAAATTAATTTTACTGAATTGAAATTATTTTTGTTGAACTGAAATTATTTTTACTGATTCTCTATTATATTTCTTCTTTAAAGTTACTAATTTTTACTGAACTTAAATTGTTTTTGCTGAACTGAATTTATTTTTACTGAACTGAAATTATTTATACAGAATATTATTATTTTAAGGTGAAAGTGAACAGGGTCTAACTGAAAGCGAGTAAATATCTACTGTATGTAGCTATCTAATAATTAGGTCAAAGTTGACTATGGAAAAATACGTATATGAAATAGTTAGTCTTCCTCTCTAATACATAGTTCAAAATATGAAGAAAATTATAATTTCCTATAGGGTGGAATGAATGTTTATCTATATTGATTGAGATGCAAAACCCTTATTTGTTGATTATTTTGCATAAAAAAGGTCAATATGTTTTTTTAGAGAAGTCTAGTCCGGATATAGCTTCGTATTATAATTAATATTTCATACAAGTTCTTCATAAAAAAAAAAGTGATATAAAATTAAACGAATACAAAATCAATTCAAAACTGTGGGTTCATGGACAAATTTTCGAGTCTTACAAGATCTCAAATGCAATGACTACATGTTTTTTTAATATCCGATAAGTTTGGTTAATTAGCTATAAACCTATAAAAGGTTATATAATATCATAATGATTTAGACCATAATAGAAAGAAATGCAAAGTAAATAAATAAATATCACCATATTTCAAATGAAAAGACATATATACATAATTTTATTATTCTCTCAATACCAACATAAGCAATTGGGAAGGGTCACGGTGGGGCGTTAGACAACTTTTTAATTAACTTCCTCGTCGTCACATTTACATTGTACGAAGTACATCTTAATGGTAAATTTACCTAATCATATTGTAGTATAAAGAAATTTGTGTACAAAGCCCCATTAAAGTCCACATCTAACCCATTATCCTACTATTTTTTTTTTTTTTTTTTTGAGGGAACCCATTATCCTACTATGATATTTCTACGTTAGCTTGTAATTAATGCTAATTCAATTAGGAACTAGAGCATAGTAATGTTTCTAATATAAATTGTACCAAAACATCCTAAGTACAAAATGAATTACGTATTCACTTCATCATATAATTAATTATATCTCACTTATTTAATTAATTTTGACACGGTTTTACCTATTAAAGTCCATGGTCTAACCCATTATCCAACTAATAATTAAGATTTCCCTACGCTAGCTCATAATAAATGCTAATTTAATTTAATTTATTAGCAGTAAAATTTTTAATGTAAATATTGTACCAAAATGTCTCAAGTACAAAATGAATTACGTAATCATATCATCATGTAATTAATCATGTGTACGGTCACTTTTCTTATGACGACATAATTTTAGGTGATATTGTTATTTTGATAAAATTATAAGGTAGATATAATGAAAGATAGTAAGGTGTTAATATTAATAAAAGATGAATCAACACACTTAATTACTTTTTATAGAAGGACAAAAATAATAACTAAAATAATAACATAGAGAAGCAAACAAACTAATCTAAGACAAGATAGAAGTATAAAACAGGTACATAATATTTTGAGACGAGGGAGCTATGAATAATGTAAATCGACATATATACACCCAAGAGAAATGCCATTATTAGTAAACAAAAAAGGCAAATTCTCATTTATCTTATCAATTATTAACCAATTATGATCATAAAAGTAGTTTTTTGTCCAAGTCATATAGAACAGCCAATTGAAAGGCTAATTGGCTAAAAAGTCTTAATGCTAACAACTATACAAAACTACAAAATACCATCTCAACCGACTTTTATCAATAATTTGGCATAAATTTTGCTTAAAACAGTACCAAAAATCAAAAGGCGCCTCATTGAATTTTGACTTTTCAAGTAATTCTCAAAGCAGACAAAAAGGTTATGACTTTTTTCTTTTGTTAATCCTGAAAGTAACATCTTTTCTCTTATTTTCATCCCCACAAAATTCAAAGTGTACCAAAAAGCTCCAAAGTCTAAAAAGCTCATGTTTACACACGCATGTCAGCTCACAGCAAGGCATGAGCAATTGAGCCTTATATTCTTATTTTCACTTCAAATTATTAGTATAATTCGTATTATTATATTAGTATAGTTTAAATTATACAAGTGTGTATTATATTCTTATTATGAACCTCATAACAAAAATACATTTTCTCCATTTTATTTTATTCACGATATATTCCTTTTTAGGATATTGTAAGATAACTGCAACATTATTCTAGTTGGTTAGTCTTTTCATCTAACTGTTTTCTCATGATCACATAATAAATTCTCTTTTATCTTTTTCTATCTCTCGTCACTTGTAAATTATACGTAACACACCCCTATGACTAACTTGGTAAGGATTTTTTATATCCTCTCTTCTACTTTCAAATATTTGGCCTACAAATATTGGACTGAAAAAATCCATAAGAAATGAGATATGATCAAGGTCCTTAAAATTTTTTTTTAAAAATAAGTTTAAGAGAAAAGAAAGCAATTTTTTTTATTTAACATGAATCAGTTTTATTGGTATAATAATTTTATACTTCAAAAAGACAAGGATATGTAGTATTTATTAGCAATTTTTTTACTTATATATAGAACTAAGTTTCTACTACTATTCACATAAAAAAAATACGAAGTAATTATTTAATTTCTATGCATGTAATTTAACAATTAACCTTTACAGATTATTTTCTCCGTCACCTTTTAATGTTTACCTTTGAAATCTTTTTGTGGGAGAAAAATGATCTGGTCATGCAAGCGTAAAAATTAAAAAAGTGATAAAGGGAGTAAAATCTAAAATAAGTTTAATTTTATCTATTGAATTTGATTGGTTCTGAATTTTACAAGCTAATTGAAACTAATTTAACTTTGTTAGCTATTTAATTATGAACAAGTTCTTTACAAACATACTTCATGCAAAAGTATCACCTCTCTCTTCCTTTCAAGCATAAGCTATAAGGTCAATAGGTCATCCATAATAACATAATCCTATGAGTCGACCAAATATTTTCCGAATTAATATTGTGTAATTCCTAAACATGCATCGATAACATAAACTCGCACCTACTCTCAAAGTAAGATAAAAAATATATCATGGCTGCGGATAACTCTTCTACACCTTGTTAAAATTGACACACGTTTTTCTGGAAACCTATTTGGTGATCTAACAAAAGCTTTTGAATCATATATAAACATTATTTCTCTTGAAATAATGATGATTTGTCAATCCATTAAAAACATGATTACATCATTATAAGACAGGTGTCAAGAAAAACAGCAAAGAAAGTTGCCAATTAGCAGCCATTAATTAGTAGTTTTCTGACATATAAAAAAATGTAATTAATTAATTAGGCCAAAACTAATTAACCTTAATAAGATAGAAAAGTGATTCCAAGTGGCAAGTTTAGATAGTGAAGAAGAAGTGGATGTCTCTCCTAAATCTTTTCACGATCTTCTTAAGAAGAATAAATTCTTTGGTCAAATATTATAATATAAGGTATATAGTTTAAGTGAAATTAATTTGTGTTTGGTTTTTCTACTTTTGTAACAACCTCAACCTTCCCCCTATACGTTAGCTTGTCCTTGTTGATCTTCTCCAGCCACTATTTGCTTTAAACTCAAGTTAATCCCTTGATTTTTGCACCACTTCATATATTTCTATCCTTAAAGTCAATATTCCTTTTTTTTACTGTTCTTGGATTTCCTATGTTTGACTTTGCTTTGTTTATAACAAAATTAACAAGTTGCTAGTATTCCATAAATTCAAATTTCCTAGGGTAGTTATTAAAAAAAAAAAAAAAAAAAAAAAATTGTTGGTCAAACCTACCGGTAAAAAATTATTCAATTTAATACTAGATCGACTTGAACTTGGCCGAAGAATATCTTATTGAAACTAATTTGACATTGATCATCAAACAAAAGCCCTATCTGACGTGTTAATAGTTGTATCAGATAGAATATATAAATCGATCCTTTTAACATAGTATCAAGAGTCAGTGTGATACAAAGGTCACGGATTCAAATCTCATCCACCCCTTACTTTCAAGTGGAATAGTTCACATTGGGTATAAAGAGGTCCATGTCAAGCCCTAAAAACTCTCATATGAGGGGGCATGATAGAGTTTATAATTCGATCCTAGACTTCAAACATCAGCTGACTAAGTTTGAGTGAAAACTACAGAATCCAATAAATATGTTACCATTTGACAGTACCTATTGAGAGCCACATACACATATTCCTCCCTTTTCTCAAATTGTTTATATCTATTTTTTTTTCCATTTGTAACTCCTATGCAGGCATGGTTTTGATCATTAATTTATTTTGTTGTATATTAATATAAATTAAAATTTAAAAACGTCAATATATATCCAACACAAATTTTTTCCTTCTCTATTACTTAAATAGCAAAATATTGTAATTTTTTAAATTTGACCATTTGAATCATATGTGGGTAGGAAAAATAAGAGGGGATATATTTAAGTGGAATTATATTGGAGTATGTACAGTACGTATATAGTTTTTTGGGGACAAAAGTATTGCTGGCTGGAAGTCGGCCAATAAGAGACAATAACCATGATCATATGATATTTATCCCATATAACATATACAAATTAAATTAAAG